GAGGAGGAGGAGGAGGGCCTGTCAGAGTGGTAAGGCTGACCGACCCCCATCATTGTCGTAAGCATGCGGCGAATGGCATTCCTGATGTCGAGGGGTTCCGCGCACGTTGGACCAGTTTGCGCGTTTGAGCCGTTGAGGTCTGCACGCCCACCGGCTTGCCCAGGTCAGTGGCCCTGGAGATCTGGGCCACGGTAAGAGGAGGAGGAGGAGGAGGAGGAGGAGGAGGAGGAGGAGGAGGAGGAGGCGGAGGAGGAGGAGGCGGAGGAGGAGGAGGAGGAGGCGGAGGAGGAGCAGGCGGAGGAGGAGGAGGAGGAGGAGGAGGAGGAGGGGGGGGGGGGAGGAGGAGGAGGAGGAGAGGAGGAGAGGAGCGAGGAGCGAGCAGCAGGAGGGAGGAAGGGGAGGAGAGGAGGAGGAGGAAGGAGGAGGAGGAGGAGGAGGAGGAGGAGGAGGAGGAGGAGGAGGGGAAGGCGGAGGCGGAGGCGGAGGCGGAGGAGGCGGAGGCATCCTCGCGGGACGGGGTGTGCGCGGTGCTGGGCTGAGGCGTTGAGTTCCGTTTTGGAGGGCGGGCCGCCTTCCAGCCTTCGAACCGTGGGCGAGAGGGGAGTTGGGGGGAGGCCCGGAGGGGGGGGGAGGAAGTGGGGCAGGAGGGGCAGGGAGGGCGGGAGGGAGGAGGATGAGGAGGAGGAGGAGGAGGAGGAGGGGGAGGAGGAGGAGGAGACGGAGGAGGAGGAGGAAGAGAAAGGGACGAGGAGGAGGAGGAGGAGGTTTTTTTGGAGGGGAGGAAGGAGGAGGAGGGCCTGTCAGATGGTTTAAGGCTGAACGACCCCCATCATTGTCGTAAGCATGGCTGCGAATGGCACTCCTGGATGTCGAGGGTTCCGCGTCTGAATGGATTGCGTTTGCGCGTTTTGAGCCGTTGAGGTCTTGCCCGCCCAACGGATTGCTTGCCCAGGTCAGGGCCTGGAGATCTGGGCCACGGTACGAGGAGGAGAGGGCGGACGGAGAAGGAGGAGGAGGCGTAGGAGGAGGAGGGCGGAGGAGGAGAGAGGAGGCGGCGGAGAGGAGAAGGCGAGGAGGAGGAGGAGGAGGGGAGGAGGAGGAGGAGGAGGAGGGAGGAGGAGGAGGAGGAGGAAGGACGCGAGCAGCAGGAGGAGGAAGGGAGGAGGAGGAGGAGGAGGAGGACGGAGGAGGAGGAGGAGGAGGAGGAGGAGGAGGAGGAGGACCGTTTGGATCGTTTTGCAAGCCCAGAGAGAGCCCGTCGGGATTCGCACCCGGGGCGAATCTCAGCCACAGTTCGTAGGAAGAGGTAGAAGAGAAGGGAGACCGACATTGCGGGCACAGCAGAGTGACCCTCGCCTCGCGGCAGCAAGCTCAGCTCAGGCACAATCGTCAAGCTGTGAACCCTCCACTGAGAGCGGCCCAGAGGGCCACTCTCCTCCTGCTGCTCGTCCTCCTCCGCCTCCTCCTCCTCCTTCTCCTTCTCCTCCTCCTCCTCCTTCTCCTTCTCCTCCTTCTCCTCCTTCTCCTCCCCCCCTGAGCCATCCTTCCGACAGCACAAGAGGGCGACGCTGGTGGCATCCGGGCTGAGGGGGCGCAGCACGAGTCCACCTGCCTGCCGTCCCTCCTCTCCAGGGGCAGGGATCACGCTCCCTGTCGGCGTCGAGACCTCGGCCGACCCCTGCCCCCTACCGTTGGGGCCCAGGCCAAGAAACACCCTGCTTGCCTCCAGGGTGCCCTGGGTGTCTTGTGTGTCGATGATTTTGCCATGGAAAGCGCAATGTTCCCAAACCCAGAATCAATGGACGTCCTGGGGTCTTAGGGTTGGGTTTCTTGTGGAAGGTTTCTTGTGGTCGGGCCTCTACTGTATCAGCTTCACTGTCGAGCTGCTCGGCAGCAGCACCGGCAAGGGCAGGCTCAAGCAGAAGTCCCC